CGAGATAGCGCGCGGATGCTCCGTGCGCGCAGCGGCCCGTGTTTTGCCGGGGACAACCTAGGAATGCAACTTGAAAGTAAACACGCGGACGCGGGGCGGTCCCTCAGTCACTCCTTAAGAAGAATGTGCAGTCGCCTTCCCTTCACAGCAGGGCAGCGCTGGAGGTCCCACTGCTGGGGGTCGCATTGGCCTCGGGCCCTCTCACCAGCGCCAAGCGGTGACACGGGGTGTGCGTATGTGTGTGCGATACCCGCGCGAGCACACACACTCGGGCAGAAAGGGTCGAAGCGATTCCCGGCGCTTTTCCAGCCCTTGTTTTTTTGGCGCCACCCACCCGGCAGCCGCCCCCTCTTTCGCCGCCGCCACCGCCCAGCGCGGGCGCGGCCGCGAGCGGCTCCCCAGGCGCCCCAGCCACGGCGGCCCCGCGGCCCCGAGCCCGCGCCGCAGGCCGAGGAGGCCGCTCGCACACCCACCGCGCCGCGCCGCGCGGGAGCCTGTGCAGCCCGCGCCACCACCCCGGGCCCGGCGGCGGAGCGGACGGGCGGGTGCGGCCCGGCGCCCCTCCCGGCCCCGGCCTGCGCGCCATGCGTCCCCGGCGGGGCGCGTCGCTCCGGGCCGGCCGCGGCGCCTTTAACCGGGGAAGGGGAGCCGGGCGGAGGGGGCGGTCGGCGGCTCAGAGGAGGGCTCTTTCTTTCTTCTTTTTTTGAATGAACGGTGTGACGTACGTACAGGAAACCAGTCGGTTTGTGCGGAGAATGAAGTAAGAGGCCAGGCCCCCCCGCCCCGCGCCCGCCTTTCCTCCGCCCCGCCCCCGCCCCTCCCGCCCGCCTGCCCGCCGCCCGCCGCGCTCCCGCCCGCAGCTCTCGGTGTCCCCGCCGAGCCGCCGCCGCCGCGCGCCAGCGAAGGTGCCTGGGCGCCGGGCCCTCCCGCCGGCCGTCAGCGCTCGGAGCGGGCGCGCGGCGGAGCTCGGGAGGCGGCCGCCGCGCCGCCGCCGCGCAGAGCAGCAGGAGGAGAAAGGGTGCGCAGCCCGGAGGCGGGTGCGCCGGTGGGGTGCAGCGGAAGAGGGGTCCAGGGGGGAGAACTTCGTAGCAGTCATCCTTTTTAGGAAAAGAGGAAAAATAAAACCCTCCCCACCACCTCCTCCTCCCAGCCTCGCAATCTCTCTCTGACGATGGTGCCCAGCAGGGCCAGGCCGCTGAGGCCCGTGTAGGTGCGGAGGCTGGGCCAGGGGAAGCGCTCGAGGAAGAGCAGCGGCATGGCGGCAGCGGCGGCCTCCAGACCCCAGGCCTCCCCGCGCTGCGGCCAGGCCCCTGCCGCGGCCTCGCGAACGGCGCCCACGGGCTCTGGCGTCGCTGCCGCCGCCGCCGCCAGCGAAGGTGCCTGGGCGCCGGGCCCTCCCCGCGGCGGCCGTCAGCGCTCGGAGCGGGCTGCGCGGCGGGAGCTCGGGGAGGCGGCCGCCGCTGCCGCCGCCGCGCAGGAGCAGCAGGAGGAGAAAGGGTGCGCAGCTCGGAGGCGGGGTGCGCCGGTGGGGTGCAGCGGAAGAGGGGGTCCAGGGGGGAGAACTTCGTAGCAGTCATCCTTTTTAGGAAAAGAGGGAAAAAATAAAACCCTCCCCCACCACCTCCTCCTCCCCAGCCCTCGCCGCACCACACACAGCGCGCGGGCTCTCGCGCTCGGCACCGGCGGGCCGGGCGCGTCCTGCCTTCATTTATCAAGCAGCTTTTCGGAAAATGCATTTGCTGTTCGGAGTTTAATCAGAAGAGGATTCCTGCCCCCGTCCCCGGCTCTTCCATCGTCCCCCCTCCCCTGTCCCTCTTCGTGGAGGCGTGAAGCGGTCCCGTGGATGGAGGTCCATGTCTGCGCCCGCGCGTGTCTGTGCGTGTGTAAATTGCCGAGAAGGGGAAAAATCACAGGACTTCTGCACATACTGGACTGAAAATTGTAATTCATCTGCCGCCGCCGCTGCCTTCTCTCGTGCTCTTGAGATCTCCGGTTGGGATTCCTACGGACTGACATTTCTGTGAAGCCCAAGTCTGGGAATCAATCTGGAAATCCTCCTAATTTTTACTGCCCCCTACTCCTGATTCATTTGGAAGTTTCAAAGCAGCTATAACCGGAGAGTTCTGAAGATTGATGGGATCGTTGCCTTATGCATTTGTTTTTGGTTTGACAAAAAAGGAAACTTGACAGAGGATCATGCTGTCCTTAAAAAATACAAGTAAGTTCTTTGCACAGGAAGTTGGTTTAATGTAACTTTCAATGGAAACATTTGAGATTTTAACTTTAAGTGCATTCGAGTAAATTTAATTTCCAGGCAGTTTAATAATACATTTTAGCTGTGTAACTTGTAGTGTGTATGCCCTGCTTTCACCTAGTGTATAAAGGAAAATGCACCTGATTTTGACTTACTAGATTTTTTTTAACCTTTCAGCATCACGGAGGAAGTAGACTGATACTAACAATCTTATTAATAATAATGTGCCTCATGAAATAAAGATCCGAAAGGAATTTGAATAAAAATTTCCTGCATCTCATGCCAAGGGGAAACACCAGAATCAAGTGTTCCGCGTGACTGAAGACACCCCCTCATCCAAGAATGCAAAGCACATCCAATGAAATAACTGGATTATAACTATTCCTCTTTCTTTGGGGGCCGTGGGGTGGGAACGGGGGCGAGAGGTGCTGTTGGTACCCGGCTGCTCTTCCTCGGTGGAAGGATGGCGCACGCTGGGAGAACAGGGTATGATAACCGGGAGATAGTGATGAAGTACATCCACTATAAGCTGTCGCAGAGGGGCTACGAGTGGGATGCTGGAGAAGCGAGCGCTGCGCCCCCGGGGGCCGTCCCCGCACCTGGCATCTTCTCTTCCCAGCCCGGGGGCACCCCCCCTCCCGCTGCGCCTCGGGACCCGGCCGCCAGGACCTCGCCCCCGGCCGCCCACGCCGCTGCCGCGGGGCCTGCGCTCAGCCCAGTGCCACCTGTGGTCCACCTGACCCTCCGCCAGGCGGGCGATGACTTCTCCCGCCGCTACCGCCGCGACTTCGCCGAGATGTCCAGCCAGCTGCACCTGACGCCCTTCACCGCGAGGGGACGCTTTGCCACGGTGGTGGAGGAGCTCTTCAGGGATGGGGTGAACTGGGGGAGGATTGTGGCCTTCTTTGAGTTCGGTGGGGTCATGTGTGTGGAGAGCGTCAACCGGGAGATGTCGCCCCTGGTGGACAACATCGCCCTGTGGATGACTGAGTACCTGAACCGGCACCTGCACACCTGGATCCAGGATAACGGAGGCTGGGTAGGTGCATGTCTGGTTGAATGTGAGTCTGGGCTGAGGTCTCAGGTCTGAGATGCCGCGGTTGGCGTGTGGGTGGACTCCTGGGGCAAGGGCAGGCTGTGCAGCCCGTGAGATGAAATCAGGTTTCCCTCCCTCTTCCTCTGGACCGAGCGCTCCTTGCCAACCCGACTGTGATAACTCCTTCCAGCCAAGTGTTTAACTTGCTTGCCAGCCGTTGAGGTTCAGAGATCCAGCATTTCTGATCCAGTAAGATTTGTGATAAATGGTGTCCCTTCAGTGTTAAACTGGGGGTGCAGGGGTCCCCAGCATCACAGTTATGTGGCCTGAGTTGCGTGTTGAAACCGGAGGTTTCTGGGACTGCTTATGAACAAGACCCCTAGGTTGGGTCTTGATAACCTGCGTCCTAAACAAGCTCCTCTTGAACAAGCTCCTTGTGTAAAAATTTGAGAACTATCCAATTAGAAGAACAGACTCCACCAAAGGACCAAGGATGTGCTTTTTCTGACTCACTTGGTAAAATTTTCCAAAAGAGGGAAACCAATATAGCCTCTCTCCCTGGAAAACAGTTGTGTTTATAAAGAGGTAAATTGACAGTCCAAGGTCCTTGGACTGGAATCTACAGTGTGTGCCATATTCCCAGTGGGCGTGATGAGATGTCTTGAACATTAGGCTATGGATGCTTTACTTGATCTCATCAGTGCTAGTGTTTGCATTGGCTGCCTACTTTGTGTTCTGTAATTCACGTGTGATTTAAAAGTTTACTTGGATTTTAGTATCTTTTATCTTGCACCACCCTGAATCTACATAATTTTGTGGTCTCCTCAGCTGAAAAAATATGCATCCAAGGTATCCGTGTAAAGTGTAGAAGAATTGATTCTTAGCTGTGGATTCTCTCATGACCTGACTTTAGTTGAAGTGATTGATACCTGTGGCTTTGAAGAACATCTGTGAGATGATTTTTTTTTCTGGTACTGCACTAGATAGAGCTTCCATCATTTTACCATACAGTTCTACTTTTCTGTGATTATTGGAGGAGGGGTGCAGATCCTAAGACTCGAAGATTGTAAATAATACCTACATCTTATATCTAAAATGATTAATTTTTGAAAAAGTAATAATTCTTCTCTGAAGTTTCTTTTTAGGCTTTGGGTTTTAATCTGAAGAGTTATCTTTGAAAAGGGATGCAAGTTAGTGCTTCCTTTTATAGTGTCTTGGGAGAATGACTAATGTTATTATTTTATAGGACCGAACAGGAGTAAAAAGCCTAGAAATGACTGCAAGTGGATTAGATGTCAAGAAGCACATTACATGTTTTTATTACATTTTACAAAGTATGCTAATATTAAGGGGCCAGAAAGAGAAAAAGCCAAGAAAAGTAGATGATTGATGTGAACATACGATCTTATTTGACCAAAGTTGACAAAATATTTATGCCACTGTTCAGTGTTTAAAAGTAAAATTAACTAAAATATTCCAATTTAAATCTCTAAAAAATGGAATGTTCTTTGTGAATTGTTTGTTTGTTGAGATCACACATTATCAGATCTTTAGTAATTCTGGAAGAATTTGCCAAAGGGTGGAAAGAATATTTTTGTTAAATATTTGGTTAAATAGGTGGTTTGATTTTTAACCACCATAACCAAAGAGATAGGGACTTCCAGACTCCAAAAGGATCATTTTAAATGCAAAGTAAAACTTATTTAATAGTTTTACTATTTCATATTTTTATGGGGAAAAAATCATCTTTAAAAGTTTTCTTTCTAGTTGAAAGAAATCCAAGGTGGTAATGGTCATCTATCAAGTAAGTTAATAAAAAGGTGGGAAAGAATGACATGTTTATGATAGAAATTAAGATATAACCTTGCTCTTTGTTGTCGAATTGCAGAATGTTAACATCTCATACAACTGAGGTTTCTTTTTAAGTAAAAGGCTCACTTTTTCCTCCTTTCAAAATAGAGTTTTCATAGTAGAGCTTATCTTTGTGGTCAACAGGTATCTGAGGTTGATAAATGTAGAGGCTACATTTTATGATGCCAAACCACAATGACATACTATAGAACAGGATAAAAAATTTTTGAAAAAACTTTTATAGTAAAAATAAATCATATAAAAGCACACATGGCTGTTGGTAAAGTGTGTAATAGTTTTCAGAACAACACATAGGTTGATGATTATATAGGAAAACAAAGGAATTTTGATTCCTTTTGATTGGCAAAAAACAAAAAACAAACAGGAAATACAATCCTATATGTAGACACTGGAATAAAAGTGGTAGCGTTTGAGAGTTATGAATGATTTGCCTATCATTTCACATGCACATTATAAATCTAAATTTTAATTTTAGGTATTTGGCATACAGACAGAGTTTCCTCAAAATTTGTACCTGTCAGGTTTGCATCTCTAATAATATGTTGCATCTTATAGTGTAAAGTGGTCTTAATGGTAAAGTTTCAGAAGAGATCTAGCTTATTTTCTTGACATGGGAGAATAATCTGCACTGTTCCAGAGCTCAGTGGATCAGCTTATCCTGGATACTCCAGGCTTTAGACTTCGAGTTGTTTCTTTTTCTTTGCTGCTGCTCCTGCAAAATCAGAACCTTCTGAGGCTGAGGAACACTGTTTGCATTCCTTGTTCCTTAACATGGAGAAATAAGGTCCTTGGAAGGATCAGCCTCAGATAGATTGTCCCAGAAGCCTACAAATTAAAGACTAAAGAAGTAATTGAGTGTAGACTGGGGTGTGGCTTTATTCCTAAGCCTGAATAAGGCTTTGTGTGGCATCCAGAGAAAGGACGGAGGGAGCAGCAAGAGAGCAGCAGTTGTAGAAAATGTTGAGGACCTTGGTGCTCAGAGTGACTCACAGACCAGCGACATGTGCATCTTCTGAGAAATTCTTAGAAATGCAGAACCCCAGGTTCCACCCCAGAGCTATTGAGTCAGAATCTGCGGTTTGTGTGTGCTTTAGAGATGCTGACTGCTATCCTTGATTCCTGGGGCATCTTTTTGGAAGAATCGCAATGTGGGATAGATTCTGCATTGTCCCTTTCCAGTGGCCTCACAGGTCCATAGAATTACCTGGGATACTGAATATTTCCCAGATGTCCACTAGAGTGATCTGACTCTGGGAAGAAATAGATTGGAATGAAGGAGAGATAGGAGGTAATTACTACATGCCCAGTCTTAATGTTTTTCATGGTAGTTACACAATTTGTATTGGCATCACTGGTCCCATTAAAAAGTAAGATAGCTATTCTTCTTCAATTAAAGGCAAGAGAGTTAGCTCTTTTAATAAGCTCTACAAGTTATGATTTTGTCCCCTCATAACACAGTTTAAATTCTGTAAGCAACGTTACTAACCCTGCCACTGCTTTGGGACAAAGGGACTCTTGCAGGCAAAGGGTTGAGATATGGGCAAGTGATGGTGACTGAAAATGGTTAGCATTTTTCAAACTGAGAACTGTGATGACATTCACCTTCAGGTCTTGGGGGGAGTGAGATGGAGACTACTAGAAGAAAGAGATGATTCAACCCAAGATTGGAGGATATCTGCCTCATTTTGTTGATGAGATGGTAGTCTGATGGGTTTTTTTGTTTGTTTGCTTTTATTTATTTATATTTTTTTTTTGGTGTTACTAGTTTAGGAAGATAGGAACTTCGCCACATTCAGTAGAGGTCAGCCTCATTTTTATTAGTTAGCAAGCAGTTTTTCTTTTCTGAATGCAATCCACATCCAGCAAAACATTTGATTAACTCATGCCAGTGTACAAATTACATGAAAAAGCATCATTTTTCTGGTGGCTTAAGTATCAGTTGCTTATGGCCAATTTTGGCAGCAAAATGATAACAATTAAAAATAGTCTGAAGATGATCCAGTCTTAAATAATATATTTAATGATGAACTTTCCTTGGGAAAGTGTATCTTTCTGTCTGCTAAGAATCATATGACCCCTTTCAATAATTTATTTTGTAGAAAAAAAACATATTATGTCTTCTAGAGTTTTCGGTCATGTGCTGTTGAGTGATTATATTTCTGGACCTTTGTAAAATTTTATAGTTCACTCAGTTCTCTTTTCTGTCTTAAGGCCTTAGTTGCTATTTAATATCTGTTGAAAACATGGCTTTACTTTTGTGCATCCTATTACTTTTAATTGTGCTTTCTAACTCTTTTTAGCAGTCCTTGATTGAACTGGTACATTTCAGATTGCTTAAGTGTCATTAGACTGCACAGCATACCAGGTAACAGAAAGCCACAGATTTAAAAAAAAAAAAAAAGAAAGAAAGAAGGCCAAATTCTTGTAGCTTTTTTCTTATCTCCGCTTTCAGTCCTATTCTACTTTTTGGAGGGATGAGAACCTCACTCATAACCAAGTATGTGGGTGCTGCACGTGTTAATAATGGGTGTCTCCCACCCCTACCTGTTTCTAAGGTCATTCATCGTGTCTTAGCAGTAGTCTAGCAAAGCAGTATCTCAGCAGAAGTGCATTTGTGCTGGAAAACAACACTGTCTTTGTAATGTACAAGTAGAAAGTTTTCTTTTTCCCCCCAGAGATATATTGTATTTGAGGTTCAAAGGTTGCTAAACCTTTTTAAGGTAATCTAATATTACCTTATTCAAGTATAGCAGTAAACTCTCAGTCTGGGCACCCTTTTCCCCAACTACATGTAGGAGACCACTCAGGGAATTTACTTCACTGTGAGGTTTGTCTTTCATTCTTCTTGGTTTGGTTCAGACATTAGTGCTTGACATCTAAACAAGGTTAATGATGAAAATCATCCAGGGACTGAGACAGTTATTTGACTAGACGTGATTGCAAGTCTTACATGTGTCTGGCCCTGGGGAAGGTTGGGGCATGGGAAGGAGAGCTTTGGCCCTGCCCTGGATGAACTCCGAGGCCAGTGGTGTAGGTGTCTTAATAAACACACAGTTACTACACAGCCCAATAAGCATCATCCTAGACTCTGAGCCTTAGAGGGAGAAAGAAAATTCCTGGGTATATGTTAT